CGAGCTTCGCGGAGGTGCCTGGCCTGGGCGGGCCCCTGCCCGCAGGGGATGGAAGATGCATCCTCACGCCCTGCCTCCCGCGAAGTCGGCCGTATCTCTTTCTAAAGGTTTCCCTGTGCGTTCCTTTCCCCCCAGGCCCTTTTATGTGGCGGGTGTATGCTAAACGATATTTGAGACTATTTGATCAGCTAAGTCATAACTGTGATCGGTTCATTCCCTGGCCAGTTCCTTTTCTTTCATACCGAGAAGACCTGGAAATACTGCCGACCTGGCACCTCCAGGAGGAAGCCCCTTGGCCCCCGCGAGCGCTTACCTCTCCTCTACACCTAGGTCTCACTCGGCCGCCCCTCTAGCCGCTTACTGCCCGGAATGAGTGGCAAACGCTAAGTAAGGAACGGGGCGTACAGGTTTAAGAGATGGACTTTGGTCTTCCTAAAAGGGAAAACTTAAAGTGAATTGCGTGATTTAGGGTAATCTCCAAAAGAGAGGGATAGAGAGCATAGCAAAGTTTTTTAAAGCGAGAGTTCTGAATAATCAGCAGTGTGACCTTGGGCAAGTAACTGAATTGTCAGTGCCTCAGTTTCCTCAAGTGTCACATGGGCCCAGCAGTATCTCCAGAATGATGTGTGAAGATTAAACTAATCCAGGTGAAAGGGAACTGAGCCTGGCAGTGACTGCTGCTGCTGCTACTGCTAATAGCACTGCTGGTACTAACACCAAGAGAAATCAGAAAGGAGGGACTTCCCCGTATCAGAAGAAAGGCAAGTTCCGAGGAAGACAATAGCAAAGCTAAATTTCCTGGAGTAAGTATGAGTAGCAGCCATGAAGAGGGTTCGTTATCTGGTTTTTGAGAGGCCCTTTGTCTCTGAACTGAAGCACCCCTCTGTTAATTACAGATACACACAATTTGATAGAGACAGTCCCTTCCAGGAGCAGTTTCCTGTCCTGGACATAAAACTTTTTAATATTTGAAAAATATCGTTAAGTAGAAGGCTTTTAACGCTTATCCTTCCAATAACTTGCCATCTTTTAAAACTTGCTTTTTAAAATCTGCTCTAACACTTGCCTTTCTCTATAGTTATATTTCCCCCAGTATCATTTAAAACTTGTCACTAACAAAAACAGGAGGAGGAAGAGAGAGAGGTGGAGAGAGAGGGAGGGAGGAAAAACTTAAACATTCTTTTTCTCCAGAAGGCTTTTTTTTATGTGGAAACTCCAAAAATGAAGTGGGGGTGTGTGTGGAAAGGCATGAAGGCCCCCATGCACATACATTATTTCTACTCAGTAGGCACTGGATCTGTAAGACAATATATATATATGTATATATGTATATTATATACATATAATATGAAGGCTTTTACATTTCATTTTTTATGATGTCTACCTAAACAAAATGTTCACCTTTTCTAACGATCAGACAACGAAGCATATGTTTTTATTTTGTCGAGGTCCTTCTCTAGTCAAGAACAGTGATTTTCAACTTCTGTGCCTCAAGAATTTTTAAAACATGCAGCACCTGACTGTTTAGCCAGGGGCACTGACCTCTTTCCCCTTAGATTGTCAAATAAAAAATGACAGCAGCCAACACAACAATAGCCATCTGGTGTGAATGAGTCAAAATTATAAATTTTTTTGTCAGATTGGCAAAAAACGAGTTTTTTGGTGTGCGCAGAATTTTAGTAATTAGTTTATGTGTGCCATGAGATGAAAAAGGTTGAAAATCGCTGTTCTAAAAGAAGTTGCTAAAGCGAGGTATCTTTTAGAAAGGCTTCAGCCCAGCCAAACCTAGCAAGTCTTGACAACTGCAACACTATTTAAGCGTTTTACTCTGATAAAAAGATTATAAGCTGATGTGATGCGATTGTTGCTACAAGCACATCTCTTGTTGAATTTATCTTTAAACATACTTTGGCATATCTTTGAATTTGTTAAATTCGAAGCATTTAAAATATTCTGTCCCTTTGTGATTTCATATATTTAATACCAGTGGTAGAAAAAATACTGATTAAAATTGGTTTTATTATTATACATTTATCCTTTTACTCGTGTCTTTCAAATCTCTGATTATCCTTTGAAGTGAGAAAGTAAGCTTTCATACCTTTGTATTTTTAACTAAGGAATGGAGTAGAGATTTCGAGGGGAAAGATAATGAAGTAAGTTTAAAAAATGTTGAGTTTGAAGTGCAGTTACAGGGAAGTGTCCAGGAGACTGTCTCTTAGAAAGATGCACAAAAGAGGGAAATGAGTAGGAAAAAACAGATCTGTTGATGAAATGGTCCTCAAAGCCAGAAGAGAAGATAAGCTAATTCATGAGAAAGCAGAGAATGAAAAGAAGTCTGAATCCTAAAATACAGCATCATTTGAAAGATGATAGTTAACATTTTTCTTCAGATTAAAAGCAATTTCATAATATAGTTATCCATCTCTACAGAGAAAAGCAATCTTTAATTGTACAATTTGAAAGCTTGAGCCAGCCATTCACTGTCAAATCTTAGCTCTTCGTAAGTCTTGGCCTCCTGTTTTCCTTACCTTAGTGGAAATGTATTTTTTTTCTTAGTTATAATTATAATTTTAATTTTGTTTTATAATATTTGACTCCACTTTTTTATTCCATATTGCTAATTATAGGTTTTATTATCAATGCAATCTGAATATTTCAATACATATTTTATTTCATTTTAATAATACACCATGGAATAATATTCTCTAGTTGGATTTAGAGCCTTTCTGATTTTTCACTAATTATAAATAATGCACCTACATATTAAAATATTTCTTGCTCAGCTGGTGTGGCTCAGCGGTTGAGCACCAACCTATGATCCAGGCATTCTCAGTTTGATTCCTGGTCAGGGCACATGCCCAGGTTTCGGGCTTGAGCCCCAGTAGGGAGCGTGCAGGAGGCAGCTGATCAATGACTCATCATTGATGTTTCTGCCTCTCTCTTCCTTCCTCTCTTTGAAATCAATAAAGATACATTTAAAAAAATAAATAAAATAATAAAACATTTCTTGACAAAAAAAACTTCTTGACAAAAAAATTAGGCTGTGATGAATTGTTACCAGTTTTTGATTTTTTTTTGGTCATAACTCAACCAACATTGGATTTGTCATTTCATTTTTGAGTTACACACTCTTAAAGGCACCTAGTAAATGCTCTCTAAATTGTTTTGTTTAGCCTAACTGAAGGGTAATATAGCTTTCCTTTCAAGATTTGCACCTATTACCTAGAATTTCTCATTACCTATAATTTCCTATTCTTAGCACCATGATAGTTTCTTGGTGAGCAAGAAAGTACCAAGCAAGTGTGATGAAGTGTAATATTTATTGTTAGGAAAACACATTATTGGCAGAGCTGCATAAAGCTATTACTGCTGACAGATTTTTTAAAATCTAAAGTTAAATGTTCTTGATTTATCTGTAAAAAAATCTTTAGATTTACGAGAAAATAATTTTTAAGTTTTTTATAGGCTGGGCCATTAACCAAAGTGACTATATGCAAAGACAGAGAAGGAAAGCCGAAGTCTTTTGGATTTGTCTGCTTTAAACACCCAGAATCGGTGTCTTATGCCATAGCTTTGCTGAATGGAATTCGTTTATATGGAAGACCAATTAATGTGCAGTATCGATTTGGTAGGTTTATCCAAGTGAGTTTTGTTATTGTTGGTGTTCTCAGAGTTGTAAGCATTTTGCTTTCTATATAAGACTTCAAAAAAGTGCCCCCATAGTCTCTCTTAAATTTTTCAGAACATATGTCTGATTCGTAATGGTATGTAATTTATTAGTATTGCCAGTTACATTGCCAACCCTATTGTATCTCCTCTCTATTAAAATTATTAATGTTCTATTTTAGTATCTATGATAGTTGCTACTGGCTATTATAAATTAAGCAAATTTAAACGAACTAGAGACACACAACTCTAGCTTTTATATAACTAGACTATTTGCCAATCCTTTTGTCGTTGCTAATGTATGATTTCAGATACCTGCTATTTGGAAGATAGGGTGGGTGACAGTCCTTCTCAGGGAACGAACCCTGCCATGTATATTGCCCTGGACCTAAGCAAGAGCAGCTGGCCAGAGGCAGCTGCAGAGTGACCCTTCATAGTGGGGGAGGAAAGCTTCCTGACATGCATGGCCTCAAGTGCCTTCTACATACGTACCAAGAACTGATTGTCTTTGATGAGGTGTCCGGAGACCACTGTCCTGATACGCTAGGCCTTTCATGTTTGGAGGGACGGATAGGGGCAGTGCTTATGTTTATGTTGCAATACTCGCAATGCTTATGTTGCTTCCCTCCCCTAAATGAATCAGGCTTAATGATATATCCCTTGTTTGCTCATTCCTTTGTTATTCCTCTTGCTGTACAGAACAAATAAGAATAGCAAAATAATGCCTTGTTGCAAAGGAAAAGTGCTTCTCTTTGCATTTCATTTTTTTAATGTCTTTGCAAAGAAAACTGGCTGCATCCTGCTCTCAAATACTGTCCAGTTAATTACTATAAGCTGGTAGGATGGGCCAGGACATTGTGTTCTGATATTTCCCTAGCCAGCTACTTAGCGTCCTCTGTAAGGCTGTATTGACTTTGTCAGTGCAGTTTAAAGAACTCATGCCTTATACATGGGAGGCAAATAACACTGATTATTTGCCATTTTTAGTTTATAGGTGTGTGGAACAAAACAGCGTGTATCTTATATGGTCCCACGTCAATGTAATTCTTTTGTAGAGCCATTGCTTTGGAAGAAGCTTGATTAAAATTTAGTTATTTATAATAATATAAACAATCTGTAAATATTACTTGGGAGACCAAAGACATATTCATGTACCTTATATGGGTATAAAATTTTAATTAATACTATGTCCTCTTGGGCTTGGAGGTGTTTTTATGGTTTAATGTTAGAACTCAAAAAAATTGTACCATTAAGTAATAAACATGTTGTTCTATTTCTTTTAAAGGGAGCACTCGGTCTTCTGAACCAACTAACCAAAGTTTTGAGAGCTGTGTTAAGATAAATTCACACAGCTACAGGTAATTAAAATGTTTTTCCATGAAGGTAAAGAAAATAAGCATGTTCTTGTGACAGGAAGAATTATTTTGAGTTATTGTAAACCTTACCATTTAGACATACAATTAAGGAATTCATTTTTTCTGAAACTGTGAAAAGTGACAGAAAATATTTTCATTTAAGTTCAGATATATTATTTTCAGCAGTATGTGAGAGAGATTTATATCTTTTGTGTTCTTTAGTTTATTATGTTCTTTCATAGCTGTTAAATCATTTAAGCATCCGGCCTTGTTGCGATGGATCATTTAGGCTTCTGTGGTACTACTCTCCGCACATATAAATGGGATATCCGCCTATTTATCTGACTGCTTCCTGTCATTTTCCTGCCTCATCTTTGCTTCTGCCTGCCTGTGTTAATTTCACTCTTCCGCAGTACACTTTCTGTCCAAGGATTAGTAGTAGTAGCATTAAAATTGTGGAGTACTATGGAGCAAGTAGACTAGTGAAGACTAGCTATAGCCCTAGCCAGTATTTGTAATATTAGAATTTTTTGAACATCTCCATAGAAGAAAATATTACTTTTAAATGAAACTTTAGGGCACCACAGTTTTTAAATTAGCAATTTTTATTATCTTAATTAATGTGTAGGAGAAATTAGCAAATATGTGTGCATGTTAACATCAGCAGTCTATTTAGAAAAGAGCATAATTTATATAAACAATGAATATACATTCAAAAATGAGAAAAATTTCTACCTTTTTTTACTTTTAAATACCTGTAAAAGATTGAATGTACCCTTGGTAAATTATTAATGCCTTGTTCTGCTGTCTTCGTATCTAAGTGCCCTCCTCTTTATAAAATTAACATTGCTTGATATTTTCCTATCAGAAAGCCAAATGTAACTCTAAATACTGAGATTTCAATATGTAGTAATTAATAAGACTTAAGGTACTGCCGTGTCAGTACATTATCAGTATAATAACTGGTTATTTATGTGTACATGTTTAAAGTTAATTAATCTTAACTGAGCTCTCTTAGAGAAGCTCTTTTTTTTAAATTACAAAGTGCTGTCTTGTTTGTTTTTTTAAAGAAAAAACATTCGTGAGCAGGAATTTTAACTTTTTATTGTTTTCTTTTACCTTCCCAAAGAAATGAAGAAGTCCTTGGCAGATCTTTCTTTCCCATGCAGTTCTTTCCAACTAATAATGCAGCTTTACCTCAAGAACATTTTTTCTTTCAGAAGATGGTAAGTTTGACATGCCTTTGGTTCAATATATAATGTGATGCAAAAACTATTTGGAACTCACAGTGCTCAAATATAAACCTGGGACAAAGGCAACAGCTTCTAGGGGCACTTTCCCCCAGTGGCACTGGGCTCTAACACGGTCATCTTAAATCCAACACATTGTACCTCACCGAACAGCCAGCATGTCAGTCAAAAAGGGGCGGACAGGAATGATGTTGCACTGTGGCCTGAGTAAAATTTGAGTAGAGAGTTGTCATTTAAATGACTATTTTAAAAGATATTTTTTAGAATTGAATTATTTTATTTAGTGAATTGTTTTTACATAATATAAACATTAATCACAAATATATTGCTTTTGGACATGGATTCTTTTTAAAATAATTTTTTTTGAAACTAAAGGCAAAGATTCTCAGTATAGTAAACTACATTCCAAAGACTCTCAGAAATATGGTTTTGGCCTAGAAATCTTAAATTATGACCTTTATTATTAAAAGAGAACTTAGAAAATTTTTTCAAATCATAATTTTATACACAATAAAATTGAGGTCTAAGAATATTAATCAACAAGCCCAAGGTTCTACTTCTTACTGACAGATGTGGGACTATAACACAGGTATTCTAATTCACAGGGTGGGATTTTTACAAACATCCAGCATACATGTGAGCTTTACATTTTTTAAATAGCTTTTTTCACTTTTGTAAATATAAGGAAAATTGATAGTTCAAATTTTGGAAAAAGTTTTCTTAGTTATAGTGAGGTATTAGTGAGCCAGTTCTCATCTGAAACTGTCAGTATCTTCCCAGCATTTTTAACCTTTGGTAGATTTAAGAAAACACACATTCACTCTTACATCCTCTCTATTAACCTTTAACATACTTTGAATAGTTAGAAATTTGAGTTAAAAATTACTTTAAAAAGAAAGAAGTATCTAGCATAACTGTTGACAACTGTGCTATACAATATGGTGGCCTTTAGACATATGCGAGAGCAAAACACTGAGTTTTTAATTTAAATTAAAATTTAAAACATATACTTAATTCACTTATTGGAAAATTTTTACATATATTTGAAAGAACTTGGGTATGTGTACCTAGTTTCTCAAATGTAAATTTTATATAATCTAAATTTAGATCAAGTTTTTTATATAAAAATTTATCTAAATTGAGATATACTGTAAGTATAAAATATATACCACATTTTGAAGACATAGAATGAGAAAAGAAAGTAAAATATCTCATAACTTTTTATTGCTTACATGTTGAAATGACAATATTTTGGATATTTTGAGATAAATAAGATACATTATTTAATTGCACCTTTTTTTTTTATTATTGAGCCTACTTGAAGATTTAAAACTACATGTGTGGCTTGCATTTTATTTCTATAGGATGGCACTAAGCTGTATTGTAGGAAGCTGTATGAAACTACCACCTCTCTGCTTTGCGAAGTCATGGCCCTTTTTTTTGTTGTTGTTAACATTCACCTGAGGATATTTTTTTCATTGCTTTTCAGAGAGAGAGGAAGGGAGGGAGGGAGAGAGAGAGAGAAACATCAATGTGAGAGAGACACATCGACTGGTTGCCTTGACTGGTTGCCTCCCACAGGTGCCAGGGGCCGGTAGTGAACCCTCAACCCAGGTACATTCCCTTGACTGGAATTGAACCTGAGACCCTCCAGTGAGCAGGCTGACCATTGTAACCACTGAGCCACATTGGCCAGGGCATAGCCTTTTCTTATATACAGCCTGGTTTGCTCGAAGTTATTTGTATAATGCATGTAAACCATAAACTTTTCACTTTTGCACTTGTTTTGGTAGATGAATGTATTTTTCCCCACAGCAGTGGCGGGCGTGTAATCCAGCCCTGCAGCTTCCTTACTGTGAGATGACAGCGCCTCTTCCTAATAGCACGTCCGTGCCTCCTCCACTAAACCATGCTCCAGATCTGGAGGCTGGACCCAGCTCTTATGAATGGACTCACCAACAACCACGGGACTCTGACCTTTATCAGATGAATAAACGCAAGAGGCAGAAGCACACCAGCGATAGTGATAGTAGCACAGGAAACACTAGAGAAAGTGAATATAGTCAAAAGTTCCGAAAGTGTAAGAGGAAGAAAAGATACTAGTATTACCTTCAAATGAATTTATCTGCACTAAAAGGAAAAAAAAAGTCTGTATTCTACTAAATGACAAATTCCATGGCTTTCTTGTCTTTTTTGAAATATATAATAATGTGGCATCTGATTTGCTATTGAAAGTTTGTTTTGAATGACAAAAACCTAAAAGTAATATAATGTACTATTTTTGCTTTTGTAATGATATTGTTGACACACTGTCAACAAGAAATATACTTTGAGTGATGTATTTTAGTACTGATGATGAAATTGCACTAAACTGTCAATGAAAAGTCACTTACGAATACGGCATCATGCTTTCCTAGGTTGTCTCCTATATAGAGTGGTAGGTTTTCTGAGTGAAACTAGTGCAGATATTTAAGAGTCACATGTTGTTACTAACAGAAATGGAATAAGCAGACTTTAGTCTCCCTTTGCTAATATTTATTTTTTATGTCTCAATGTGTTATTTTTGAGCTTTATGCTCCCACAGGTTTATTTCATAAAAGGAAGATATATGACAGTAATACCAAAGGAAAAATCATTATTATGGAGCTGGTTTTAGTATCATTCCTTTTTTATACAGTTTATATAAATACGAGCATCTTCCTCATATTAATTGTATTGTATTTCATAAAAATTATTTGGTTATGTTAGAAGTTATCAACTTATTTTACCAACTGGGTTTGAGAGGGTATGTTTGACATTAAGTAAATCTTGATAATAAACAGTAAATAGAATATTTCATTAATGTATGATATTTAATATTTATTATCAAATCAAGTTTTCTATTTTTGGTTCATTTCTTTCTAGAATATAAATAGAGTACATGTAAAATTAATGATTTATTTATATATTTTTGTTCATTTTTTAGCTCATCATAAACTAAAACAATGAAAATATTTATTTACTAAAGCTAATTGAAAGACGCATTGGGAGGTCCCCACCCACTTCCATAGGAAAAGCCATGCTTGGGTAGTTCTTTTGTATGTTGCATAGCACTTTATGCATCTTTATTATTATTTTTTAAATATATCATAATTGCTTTCAGAGAGAGGAAGGGAGCGGGAGAAAGAGCTAGAAACATCAATGATGAGAGAGTCATTGACTGGCTGCCTCCTGCACACCCCTGACCAGGGATCAAGCCCACAGCCCAGGCATGTGCCCTGACCAGGAATCAAACCGAGATCCCCTGGATCTTAGGTTGACACTCAACAGCTGAGCCAAGCCCGGCCGGGCAAGATCTTTATTATTTAAAGTAATAAAGGTGTTTTTAACAAAATGAGTAACTGAATTTAACTTTGGGTTATAAATTTGCAATGTCGTATAACTAGGCTTATTTTAAATGTAAATATTAGTCTGTTTCCATTGATCAACATGAAATGCTAAATTCTGTTTGATGTAACTTGACCTGTATACTTTCATGTTCCTAACTATTCAAACAAAAAAAGATGTCATTTTTTCTTTTTTAATTTACATTTTTGCGATTTAGAATTATGCTAAGGGGAAATATATTTCTATGTAAATAGAAAAAAACGCCTTAGCCCTAAATTATTTCTGCGTGATGGGCATTATAGAGAATATGTACATGAGAAAGGCCTCTTAGCAAGTAAGATTAGCGTATTTGTAAGAAAATTATCCTGAGATACTGTTACACGAACTAAAACCTTATAACTGCAGGGAATTCTTGCATCGTCTTCATCACAGACAGGAATTACCCTGAGAGCAGCTTCAGCAAGTCAGCCAGTTCAACCAACCAGAAGGCGCATTCACTTCTTTACCTAGTATCTTTCCTTAGAAAATATGAAACTTCTCCTAAAATGTTATCATCTACAGTCCTATGTAATTTTAAACTATCAATTTTCCCAATGCTGTGGGTTTGTTTTTTTGTTTTAAATATATTTTTATTGATTTCAGAGAGAGGAAGAGAGAGGGAGAGAGAGAAACATCAATGATGAGAGTCATTGATCGGCTGCCTCCTGCACGCCCCCTACTGGGGATCAAGCCTGCAGCCCAGGCATGTGCCCTGACCAGGAACTGAACCTCCATCTCCTGGATCCTAGGTTGATGCTCAACTGCTGAGCCATGTCAGCCCAGCACCAATACTATGTTTTTGACTTAAAATTTATTTAAATTATTTGCCTTAGAGGATTTTGTTTTTACAATTTTAAGTCTCTACTCAAAATCTATTTTTAAGTATGTACACATTCTGTTTCAAATGTTAGACAAAAGTTGAAATTTGAGAACAAAATCAGTATTTTTATTCTCGTTCACTAATTTATTTTTTCAAAATGAGTTTCTGGAATTTAGTGGAAAAACAAGAGAAAAAGTACTTAGAATTAAAATTGGTCCAAAATATGGGTGCAGATCACACCTTTGAAATCTGTAAGTGTGCATATTCTTCTGTTTTCTGTTTCCATACATCTTAGTAAAGCCAGTTATATCAGAACTAAGAGTCTGTCTCTCATTAATTTATTTCCCATTAAGCAAACTGCATTAAGAGCCTGGGCTTGATTTTGGTGACTGTGAGCAAGCACTATTACATAAATCTCTATAGAAATTATATTTTACTGCAAAAGGTTCAAAAAAGGATCTTTTTAACAAAGAATGAATGATACCTGCCTTTCCACCTCAAGCCCGGGGAAGCTGAGTGAGCACAGCCTTTCCAGTTTTTACTATGCAACATTTGCTGAGGTTATTAGTGTTCTGCCTGATCAGAGTGAGTTCTACAAGTTCACATGATGCCCCAGCAGTGGGCTAACTTAAGTTTCTTATTCCCAATCATGACACACCTGCAAGAATGACCTCATGTGTGTGCAAAAACCGCCTTAGCAAGTGAGGAGCAGTTATCTAGTATCTGGGTCTATCTAGTTTCTGGTAAAATTTTATTTTGAGCTTCCAATACCATCTTATATCATCAACAGGTTATGTAAGGGTTAAGAAATACATATGCTACGGACATTGTAATTAGAGAACATAACCAGTATGTAAAGATACAAACTAATATATTTCTTGAGTTATAAACCCTGAGAAAGATTAAGCCCAACAAGCCTACATAATAGCATCTACTGCAAGGAACCTGGATCTAATAAGAAATTGGTTCAACTACTTGACCTTGCTTGGAGAGCTTAATAAATGAAAGCATTCTTAAATGAATAATGTTGATCAGTCCAACACACTATTTGAATCCTAATAATTACTGTATTTGCTTCTATATATGATAAAAATGGTAAACTCCTAGATAGGAAAGCAGCCCACAGCCCACCTTCTTACCCCAGGCTGACATCCTCATTGATTTTATCCTGCCTCCAAGGGAAACACTGCAGACTCTCCTGTTTGCTAGTCAAAACCCTGAAAGTTATTCTGGACAATTCCCTTTGCTTTATTTCTTAGTGGTCATTAGCTCCTCACTGTGACCTTGTTCAGTTTTTTTTTTTCCCATTTCCTGCTTGGAGTATTAAGAAAATCAACAACAAATATCACTCTAAACACAGGCTTTGGTGCTGAGGCTACATCACTGAAAAAGTATGGTCCCAACATTCAAGGAGCTTATAGTCTAGTGGCACAGATGGACAGTTAGTAAGGTGATTTCAGAAAAGTGTTATATCAGAAGTAAATGCCATGCAATGGGAGTGCATTAGAGTCTCCTTTCTTCAAGAAAATAAATCCTGTCCGGCCAGGCGTGGCTCAGCGGTTGAGCATCAACTTAGGATCCAGGAGATCCTGGTTCGATTCCCAGTCTGGGCACATGTCTGGGTTTCGGGCTCCATCCCCAGCAGGGGATGTGCAGAAGACAGCCGATCAATGACTCTCTCTCGTCATTGATTTTTCCCTTTCCTTCTCCCTCTCTCTGAAATCAGTAAAAATAAAATAAAAACACAAAAAGAAATCCTGGGAGGAGGGAGCCAATCTCTTGAATACATAGAATAAAAGGAGAGGATCTAGGTCTCCAAAGGCTTTCTATACTGACTCCCAGCTGTTTGCACATTTTCAACCCTGCAGTTCACTCTTCCCTGGAGGTATGACTCCAGGTTTTGAGCCAGTACAAGTAAGACGTCTTGCCTCTTGGCAGTATCACTCCATTCTCTTAAGGATACAGAGGCTTGGGATATGGAAATCAATGAAAAAGATAAAACACCCTGCTCTCACGGAACATGCTAGTAGAAAGGTAGATAAAGCTATGTTTAGGAATTAAAAAGGTAAACCAGGAGAGGTAGTAAACTACATGGATATCTGAGGGAGGAGCTGGAAGAAACACCCTTAAAAGAAAGGGAAGGAAGCCAGTGTGCTGGATGCAGATAGAGGGAGAGATGAGATCAAAAGATAATGAGACCCTATCAGCCGTTGTAAGCACTGACTTTTGTAAATGGCCGGTGGGAGTGAGGGTGTGACAAGGGCAGAAATATTGAGACTGTTGAAGTTACACAGGTAAGGAAAAGGTTACTTTAGTCAAAGTGATAGCAGTAGAAGAGGTAAGTGGTTAGATTATGCATCTATTTTGAAGGTAGAGCTGACAATGCACTAAGCATTCTACTAATTCTATTGGGAAAGAGAAAATGAATGAGTGGAGTCAACAATGGCTCCGAGGTAGCTGGTCAGAGTAACTGGAAGAATGAAGTTACATTTATTGATATGAGGAAAACTATGAAGGAGCAAGTTTTGGAGAAAAATCAGGAGCAGAACTTCGGACATGTTAATTATGATTTGCACGCCAAACGTCTAATAGAAGAGATCAAGAAGTGTGTACATCTAAGATCAGGGTAGAGGTTTAGGTTGAAGTCTTAAACATTAGAATTATTGCCATAGCAATGCTATTTCAAGCTTGAAGACTGCATAAGACCACCTATAAAGTGCACGTACTTAGAAAGGAGATGAAATGATATAAGAAATGCTAATGGGTCTTCTTCAAGAAGAAGAAGAAAAAAAGTAGCCAAGATACGGAGGCAACCTAAGTGTCCATCAATAGGTAAGTGGGTAAAGGAGAAGCACATATATACAATGAAATAGGACTCAGCCATTAAAAAATAGAGAAATGAAATCTTGCATCTGCAACGTGTATTTACCTAGAGGATATTGTGCTGAGTGAAATAAGTCAGAGAAAGACAAATCCATGTGATTTCACTTGTATGTGGAACCTAAAAAACAAACTAAACAAGCAAGCAGCCAAGAAACATACCCATAGATACAGAAAACATTGTGACGGTTGCCCGATGGGTGGGGGTTTGGAGGGGGTGGTTTGAAAAAGGTGAAAGAATTAAGAAGTACAAATTGGTAGTTACAGAGTAGTCCCAGGGATGTGAAGTACAGCAGAAGGAATATAGTCAACAACACTGTAATAACTATGGATGGTGTCAGGCGGGTTCTAGATTTATTGGGTTATCACTTTGTAAGGTATATAAGTAATCACTGGGTTGTACACCTAAAACCAATATAATCTTGTACATCGACTGTAACTGAAAACTAAAAAACTGCTTCCAAAAAGAACAAACAAAACAAACCCATAGGTCCAGGTAACAGAATGGTTATCAGAAGGAAGAACGGTGGGGGGAGGGCAAGGGGGTGAAAGGGTGTCGAACACAAGGTGCTGGAGGAGACTAGATTTGGGTTATGAGCACGCGCCAAAGTACTCAGGTGCAGAATTGAAGAGAAGAAAGGAGGCGAGGCCTCAGGACTGTGCCCAGCCTTCGTGGTGGATTACCTTAGGAAAGTCATTTCCAGGGAACAGGAGAAACGGCCATCGAAGTG